CATCGAGGAAGATACGTGAGCGTAATCCAATTATACTACCATTCGTCCTATTGAACTTCAACGATGGTCTAATTAAAAATTACTATAATGGTTGTGCACTATCACAATCACTAGCTAATCACATCGAGCGTGCTGGTTGAGAACACTCTTAGTGTGATTTTGTTTAATCACACTATATCACATAATTTCCATGTCTCTGCCAGGACTTGTTCATATTTCACTTTCGTCAGAGGTTTCGTTACTTCCATCTTTCGTCATTTTATAAAAATAATTTCGTCTAAAATCACTATTAACAAAAAAACTTAATTATTATAATTATTAAAACTAAATTTAAGATTACATTTATAATAAATTCATTAAGAAAACATTTCTTTCATTCAATCTTTTTGAATTTATTTGATTCTATGCTTTAAAAAAAGTCTGCTATTATATATTTTAAAAATCAATTACTAATATTTCGGAATCCAATAATTGAATCTAATTTAGGTTCGACATCGAACCTAGATTACGACCAGCTGAAACGGGAGCTGAACATTTCTGTAATTTCGTACAACATTCTTTCACTTCGATCCCCTCAGCTCCAGCCAATAAAGTGTTTATATCTAATACTAATCTAAACGTTAACCCTATATCTATATAAAATTTTTTTTTTACTTGAATGAGAAATTTCGTGGGTAAAATTAATCATTACTATAGTATAAACTAATTTTGACTCAAAGATTAAAGTTATGTAAAAAAAATTTGACCTAACTTTTCTATTCATCTTTCTCATCAATTTATTTCTTAACTTGAAAGTTCAATAGCAATGTTCACATCATCTATTATAATTAAATTATATTAACAATCGCAATGCTTAGATAAAAATAAAATAGAATTACGTTATATTTGCCTGAAATTTTAATAAATTTAGATGTATATTTGGCGTCTTGACACTGTTTCTGGGTTGTTCTTATTGTAGGAATTATTTTATCTGCATTTAAAAATTTATTTTTTATTTCAATTTGACTTTGATCCAATTCTTCTGTTTCTTTGTTCAAAATTATTTTCCATTCTTGAACTTTTTTGTAAACCTCTTTAGCAGTTGGCCGCTTTAATGGATTACCATCCATACATTGATTTGCAAGTTGAACATAGCAATCCGGTGTTCCAAGTGCAAATTCTGGTCTTACTCCATTTATTGCACTAAGAAAATCATTAAAGGGCGGTTTTCCCGTTGAAATCTCCGTCATAATTACACCCAAACTATATATATCTGATGCTCTTGTATGTTGTTTTCCTGAAAATACCTCAGGTGCTATATAAGGTGCCACACCATATATTCCCCTATTTATGGATAATTCATTTATTGGTCTAGATAGGCCTAAATCCGAAATTTTGGGTTCTATATTTAATTTATCTCCAAAATTTTGTGAAATCATTAAAACTTTGCCATTTACTTGGAAATATTGCATCGCTGTATTTTTAAAATCTTCAACACTAAACATAAGTATATTTCCACTGTGAAAATCTTGATGTATATATTTTTGATGAATATGATTTAAATTATCAGATATCGAATAAAGAATGTTTATTTTATTTTTCCATAAAGTGTTTTAAAATTTGTTGATAGATAATCCTGAAGATCTCCTTTGTCTGCATATTCAAGAACCATCATATATTCATTTTTGTTTGGATTATAGGTTATTCCATATGTTTCAATACTATATTTATCAACACTATAACTTTGAAGCTGACATTCAAAGTAAGCTTTAAACTTTAAGAAAATAAATTTGTTATTATTTATAGTCAAGATGTATATTTTCAATTAATTAAATAATATGCATATAATTTTTACCTCTTTCAGAAAATCTAATGAAATATTTTGATTTCCGTTTAAACTTTTAAGGGCAACCTTACAATATTGTTCACGTGATGGTATTAAATTTTTATCATCTATAGGCTCATAATTTCGCTTTCCATCTATCCAAATTGCAGAATAAACAGTACCAAATCCGCCCATACCAATTTCTTGAACGTCAGTTAATCTATCAAAAGGTATCCATTCGATTATTTTATGGTAATATTCCGAATTTCGTTGTGCATCTTTTATAAATTTATCTATATCACTATTGCCACTAGTCCACTTTTGACTTATTTGAGGATCACATGAGTGACAAAAGAAAACTCCAGAATTATACTGTTTGCACTTTTCACAAACTCCGAACCGGCTTGGAATTGCTTCATGATCATTTAATACCTTGTTATCATCTGGCTTAATATTTAAAGAATCATTTAAATCAATAATTGCTTCTTCATATTTCCCCATTTGCGATAAAGATTTCCACGATTAGTCAATGTTAAAGTATTTTGTGGGTTAATGTCTAATGCAAGATTAAAATCTGAGAGAGTTTCTTATAATTTGCCCATCTTTAAATAAGTTAAGCCACGATTATTCCAATTTATGGAGTTATTTGGATTAATTTCTAATGATTTGTTTAAATCATCGAGTGATTCTTCATATTTACCCATATATTGATAAGCTAATCCACGATTATTTAATGCTATGGTATTATTCGGTTCGATTTCTAATGATCTATTTAAATCTACCAGTGATTCTTCATATCTCTCCATTTTTTGATAAGTAGCCCCACGAATAGCTAATACTATAGTTTGGTTTGGTTCAATTTTTAATGATTTATTTAAATCAATAAGAGATTCATCGTATCTACCCATTAATTGATAAGATAATCCTCGCAAAGTTAATGCTGTAACATTATCTGGATCGAGTTCTAATGATCTGCTTAAATCCTCAAGTGATTTTTCATGCATATACATATTGTGATAAGTTCTTCCACGGTTATCAAATGCTATAGTATTATTTGGATTGATTTTTAATAATTTGTTAAAATCTTCAAGTGATTCTTTGTTGCTGCCCATCTTTTGATAAGCCAATCCACGAAAATTTAATGATGCAGTATTACGAGGATTGATTTCTAATGCTTTGTTTAAATCGGAAAGAGATTTTTCATGTTCTCCCTTATCTAGATAAATCATCCCACGGTTATTCAATGCTAAAGCAAAAGTTGGGCAGATTTCCAAAGTTTTGTTAAAATCTGAGAGTGCTTTTTCAATTTTGCCAATACTTTGATAAACCATTCCACGAACGTTTAATGCTCTGTAATTATTTGGATTAATTTTTAATGATTTGTTTAAATCTTTAAGTGATTCTTCAAATCTATCCTTCTTAAAGTAACTTAGTCCGCGCATAGTCAATGCGTCAGCATTATTTGGAGACTTTTTTAAAGATTTATTTAAATCGGCTAATGATTCCTCATCTCTACCTATCATTGAAAATGTAAATCCACGGAAATTTAATGTTTCAACATTATTTGGAGCGATTTCCAATAATCTAGTAAAATCAATAAGTGCTTCTTCATGCCTGCCTATATCCTGATAAATCGACCCACGAATACCCAGTGCTGCAATATTGTTCGGAACGATTTCCAATGATCTATTAAGATCCTTAAGCGAATCTTCATATCTGCCTATCTTCTGATATGCACATCCACGAAGAGCCAAATATATAGCATTATTTGGGTCAATTTCTAACAATTTATTTGCATATTTAAGTGATTCATCATATTTTCCTGATCTAAAAGATATTTTTGTGCGAATAACCAGCGTCAATTGTTTATAAAAATCGTAAAAGCTAATATATTTATAATGAACAATATGAAGTTATGACTTTTTGAATTAACAAATTTTTTAATATGAGTAAGTATATCAAATACTTGCATTTTTGTGAAATCCGCAACAGCGGCAACAGCAGCATAAGCAACAAAGTACAAAAAGAAAAATAATAAATATGCCAATATAAACATATTTATTTGTAAAATCCCCCATTTTTTGATTAATTTGAAATCAGTTTAATTCGATTCAATATTTAAATTAAATCGATTATAACTTTTCTCTTCTCTAATAATTAGGAATGATGTTGCGGTTTGTCTAGGCCCGTATATTTAACTAATATAAAGATAACGCCGAATAAGCCAATAATATAACATCTTACGGGCATACTAATTAGTAATGGGGACTAGATGTGCTAAGAATTAAACTGTCATACGCCGTGATCTATTAAAAAACTTGATCCTTAATAAATTATTAAATGTGACAATTAAGTATCACCCCCCGTATCCCATCACTGCTTATGTTGTGATCAAATTTAACAACCTATAATATTTTTTTGCCGGAATGCTGGAGATCATTTCTATAAAAGTTTGTGATTGGCAATGATTGGC